TGGCAAAATAGAGAGTTTCTTTGATGGTTAGTTGTTTTCTCCTCAAGCAAGGAGATTTTTGTAGGTATTTGAGAGGTGGTGCTATGTCAACTGCATCTTCCTCAATTAAAGTTATCAAGATAACTTTTATTCATAACTTCTAAACTTATTCAAAAATGTTGACCTATTATTTTCCATATATATATAAATATAAATGAGCTGATAAGTAACAAATACAAAGCTTTTAAAAATTCAGACACTTACATTTTTAAAGACTATCATACCCCATTAAAACCTAAATTTAAAAAAAAATATTCATTCTAACTGGCAATGTTGTTTTAATATTCAGAGAAGCAAAGAGAGGATAACCGATAACCATAACAACAATAATATGTATTTGCAGAATAATCTGTTTGACCATGATTTGAGCACTAATCACTCTTTTATTTATTGTTCGAACACACAGCTAGTAGGGCGTGTATTCATAAACAATATATGACAGTCCAAGTAATATCTGATTAAAAGGATATTTGCCACCCCTACCGGGGAGGGCAATACGCAACTTAAAGTATCAGAAAATATTATAAATTCCCAGCTGGCTGGGAATTGAATATAACAGTTTATCACAACACCAGTAAGGTAGGTCTGTCCCTGACCAATGCAGTGAACCTGGAGATAAGCCATAATGGATTAAACAAGGGAAAATAAACCAGTAGGTTGTTACAGTTTATTTAATCAGCTTTTTTATTCGTCTCACAAAGAAAGTGCAGAAACAAACACAGTAAACATTTAAACATGAACGTTTTATCCATTATATGTTATTTATTTTATTTATTCATTTCTCACAAACCAAAATAGTAGATCAGAATACATCAATAAAATAAAAAAATGTGATGGTGTATAACAGAAACCCCTTAGGGCTTATACCAAAGGCCACACCCCTAAAACAACAAATCATCAGGCGGCTCCCATCATAAAAGACACTTCACTTGAGACAGAAAACAAAAAACATGTGTACAATTTAACATTATTTTTACATATTAGCTTTCAGATTATACGTAGTCAGTGTGTAAAATCATACATCACTGTATTTTTTGCATAACAGTATTTTTTTTTCCCAAAGAATTTCTACTTTTTATACCCTTTGTTAAAGAAACAAAGTCTGATAAAGAGCCATGCAAATAATTACATAGTCTCAGTCAGGAAGAACATTTACAATTTTCTCTCTTTAATTTCCTTTTTTAATAGATGCTGTTTCTACAATTACTTTGTTGTTATCCATGTTTAGAACTGAATAGCAATTAGATTTAAGCAAACTGAGCTCTGGAAGGTAAGGCTTATAACATGAAAATCTAGAAAATCCTGCATGAGAAAGAACTTCATCTTCTAAACAGGAAGCTTATCCTAGTCTTACAGCATAACGTCAACTCAAGAATAAACCTGGACTAGAACATTGCCAGTACAGATGTATATCCTCTTAAATTGTTTTGTTTTGATTATAAACTCAAAGGTTTAAGCCATGAATCATCAGTTGAGTCAAAGGAAATTTTCACTCAGTTATAAAATACATCTTCACAAAATTAAAATGTATATAGAAATCCGAATTGCAAACAGCTAGAATAGAAATTTGTTCTTTAGGATCTGAGGCACTGTAGTTATATGTTTTTATTGTTTTATATAGTCAGCAAAAATGGTACCATGCTATTGTGATCCCTACTGGACCTTACTGAAACAATAAAATAGTTAAAATAGGAATTATCATATTGCATATTATAAGCATTTTTTTCTACTGTATGTACAGTTGCAGGAGTTTTTGAATGGTCTCAATCTCCTGGTCATTACGATTACATTTCAGTAATCCTGGTATACTCTCATGATAAAAGACATGAACATAAAGCACAACTTTTTTCATAGTTTCAGGCAGGTTAAATGGTGCAGTGGAATAGTCGCCATCCCTGGTGTGATGCATCAGAACCAGAATCACTGGTTTACCAGATGATGCCGCTGAAAAACAATACAAAAAAAAAAAAAAATCACTGTTAAAGTGATAATTAAGTCATTATTTTTCTTGAAAGAAAATGTCTCCTAGTTTTTATCCTTTAACTGAAGCTTAAAACCTGAAGCTCTGATACAAAAAAATAACAGATTACATTCATGAAGCTCTTAGGTTTTTTTTGTCACAAACTCTTGTTTTTGTTTAAAGGAATAGTACACCCAAAACATGATTAGCCTTCATTTTCTACTCACCTCCATGCTGAACAACACTCTGGAGTACTTTTTTGATATCTCAAATGCATCTGGAGATCTGGGAGGCTTCTTGCTGTCTGCTGACATTCAAATAATGGAGGTCCATGGCGCCCGAGACAGAAAGGTCCATAAAAGTCCACAAAAACGTGTCAATATTCCTCCATACTGCTCGTCCAATGTAATCCAAGTGTCCTGAGTGGGTAGCATCCAGAATTTACTCGAAACGAAGTCATTTAGAATGTTTTTAGAGCATAAACAGTAGTGTATAGGATTTCCTAATAGCGCCCCCATGCGCGCTCACGATTCTACGGAAGCCGGCAGACCAAACCGGAAGGAAGTGCGCATTCAGCGTCTGGTCTGCCGATAATGCAAGCGTAGAAGAAGAAATGTGCTGTTTACCTGTGCAAAGAAAGAAACAACGAAAGAAAAATGTCTGAGGACTTCAGTGTTGAGGAAGAGCATGAGTTCTTTGCCGAGCTGAATGCGCTGGTTTGGTCTGCCGGCTTCCGTAGAATCGTGAGCGCGCATGGGGGCGCTATTAGGAAATCCTATACACTACTGTTTAGGCTCTAAAACGTTCTAAATGACTTCGTTTCGAGTAAATTCTGGATGCTACCCACTCAGGACACTTGGATTACATTGGACGAGCAGTATGGAGGAATATTGACAAGTTTTTGTGGACTTTTGTGGACCTTTCTGTCTCGGGCGCCATAGACCTCCATTATTTGAATGTCAGCAGACAGCAAGAAGTCTCCCAGATCTCCAGATGCATTTGAGATATCAAAAAAGTACTCCAGAGTGTTGTTCAGCATGGAGGTGAGTAGAAAATGAAGGCTAATCATGTTTTGGGTGTACTATTCCTTTAATTGTCAAAGTGTTCTTTAAAATAAGTTGTCCTTAGGAGGAAATAAGATACCTGAACATAAATTATTAATCAGAACTAAGACATGAAAAATTATTTAGAGCTCCTGATGTTACATTATAAAACCTTAATTATAGTTTATTCCTGGTGAATCATTTAACAGCAAAATATTTACTGTTATTCCAATGATGAATTATTCTTGCAGATGGGTTTAAACATTTATTTTTATTTTTTACAGTTTTCATAAGTGCACTTATTTTCTCACCTGCTGGGAAAAAAAAGTTACCAATGTGAAGTTATCCTCTCAGATCTCATCTATCCTTTGTTAGTCTCTCGCAAATAGTATTTTCAATAAAAAAAAGCAGATGTAGAAACCCTAATTTCCCAGCGCCACTGCGAAGTCAACCTACTATCAGTGGTTTTGGATTGCATTTGTCTGGTCACATGCCCTATTTGTCCAATTGCAGCATCTCCCAACAGAAGCAAGGTCACACCAATTTTAAGATAATAAATATATGCAGGTTCCCTATTTATATGTTTATAAAGGAGCTATAACATACTGTACACAGATTAGTCAATTGTTCAAATTCTACAAATAGCAATGGTGTTTATGCACTGCTGATCGCAAGATAGGTCAAAATAACTTAAAATTCAAGGTAAAAAAAACACACAACGAAACTTTAGAACAAATGGAAGTCTAAGGATCTGACCTACTGTACCTACAATAGTTTTTCAACCTGAGAAAAAATTTCAGTCCATAAAACTTTTCAAAAATGTGATTAATGGAATTATTCAGTTGTAACCAGATCATGAAAAATCTAATATGACGATGTTGATGTTGTTTTCATTACCTGCTTTATTTTCCATAGCTGCTCTTGCATCAGATTCAACATTGCGGATGACTGGACAGAATAAAATGATGACATTGCATTTCTTCATGTCTGTTTCCTCCACCTGTGCTGATGATTCTTTTTCTGTTGTTAACTTCTTCATTATGGCATCAGCAGCACCAAATGTAACTCCATGGACAATGCGGTGGACATGGACCATCATCTTTACTGTGCTTTGAGGAAGAAACTTGGAAAAAAAAGATCCTTTCTTTTTTGCTGAAAAAGATGCATTTTAGTTATCATTAATATCTACTTAAACTTTAAAAATTAAAGAAAAAAAAATATGACTCACTGACTGGTGTTTGATTTGACTGCTCAGGTTTCTTTGGACTGTATTTGCTCTTATCTAATGTGAATGAATAAAAATAAGAAAGAAATATGGTAACAGAGTACATTTTATTCTTTTTGTTACCATTCATGAACACCAATGTATATCTACAGTTTATCTGGGGTATATCTACCACATGCCAAATATTAACTGCAAATTGGAAGGTTAGAGAGAGGGATAAAAAATATTTAAATGGTCAGGAGCCTCAACACATTTGACCGCTATGTTGAGGACAGTACCATCTGCATATTGTGCACCTGTACAATCACTTAGCTACACCCCTGGTTTGAACAGATGGTAACAAGGTTTCTATACAATTATTATTATTATCATTATAATTACTAATTATTATTTCAATTATTATTAATCATTAATAGTTTTGGCAGATTGATAGATGGGAATCAGAAAAAATGCAAAAGCTGCACAATATGAAAACACAAACATATAACAGGCAAAACATTTATATTTATATTTGTATTATATGTTAAATTTTTATAATTCCATTAAGACTATTCTTTCCCAGAGCAACTGTAACACAGGTTTGCTGTGCAATCAATATTAAACTTTGGTTACAGATTTGTTTGGGCTTAAAACACACCTTTTGACTTTGATGGAGGATTGTTAGCCTTTTCATCATGGTAAGTCGAGGAATGTCCTGATTTTGTCAAAATAAATAATAAGCACAGAGATGATGTTACACACAGTTTCCCAGAAACATTTTCACTTTCACAAAAAAATATTTTAGTTTACCAAAGTCTATTTGTGATGTAGGCTGATTATCTGCAGAAAAAAAAAAAGGCAGTTTTATTATCAAGAATTTAGCTTAATGTTTATTCAAACTTTGAAGGTTAAAACTGATCAAAGGTAAGAAACGAACCCCCTGCTCTGCCTTCCAGCTGGTCCTCCTACACACAGAAGAAATGTCCAAAAACAACATGTAAATATACATACATATTAAAAATACCTATTATATTCCACTGTTGCCTCTCCCATTGAAAAATTTAGTCTGAAATAGCAAGGCAAATAGACCCTCGACTCTACTTGCTCAATTGATGGGCGAAAACAACCAAAACCTGCTCCAACAATATCCAGCAAGCTCGTCTTTAACCACAGATGCAAAGCCCTTCAGATTCATACTTAATAGAACTAATAAAACTAGTGATTTAAATCAATATTTTAATCTTGACAGCAGCATTTCTTAAGTTTTAGTCATCAGCATATTATTAACATATTGAAATGATTTAAAGTTAGCTTATTTAACAGAAAATCAGTTGGGTAATAGCATAATTTGAAATGAATGTTTTAATTAGTATTCTCTATGGTTCATTCAAGATAAGTAAAAAAATAATAAATAAATTTTTATATCTTTTGAAGACAACACTTCAGAAATCAGCTGGATTTTATTGATTCCTGTACTTTCTAAAAGCAGGTCGTACAAGTGGAGCTAATACATTTAAAGCATTTTATTTGAAAAAAAAAAAGAGCAATATGATGTGCATATGTTTTTATAGATGGTAGTCCTCTGTATTTTGTGTATTCTTTTGTTTTTTTTAATTGTTAAAATTGGTAACATTGTGTGCACTAAGGGCTTGTTCTCGATCAGAGCAGATTTTCAAAGAAGGTGGAAACATTTGCATCAGAAAGGGAGTAAAACCTTTTTTTTACATGTTTGGCTACATTAATATGTAATAACATTCCCAAGAACAAACCCTACAAATTCGAGAATGGAAGATATGTAAATGTGAATATTTACTATGTGCAAACTCAACTGCAGCTGCAGTTTTTTTTTTTTTTTTTTTTTACAGTTTTGATACTTCTGAATGTCATGTGGCAACTACAAATAAAAATATTTTGGTATTAGTATAGAGATACTGCGATGGACTGGCGACCTGTCCAGAGTCGCCCATTGACTGCTGGAGATACAGTAGGCACCAGCACCCCTCGCGACCCCAATTGGGACAAGCGTGTCAGATAATGAATGGATGGATGGATGGATAGTATAGAGATATTAGTATAAAGCCAGAAGATATTTGTAGCACAACATATTTGGACTGTCAAAAATAACAGTAGTATAATGTTAATAAAATAAAACACTTTTAAGCGTCAGTGTTACACCGTATTCTATGACCAATTATATAGCCTAACTCACCAGCCATCACCAGTCTGCTATCTACAAACCATAATGTCACAGGATTCATAATTAAACCTAACATGTAGTGCAACCATATGTGATGGGTCCCAGAATATGGTGGAAAAGATGCGGGAGGATGGCACAACATGTTAACAGTTAAACCAAATCTAAAAATAATGAATAAGCCTAAATATTCAGGCATGTTTATTAAAAAAATAGACTTTGAAAGGGCCTGCAGAGATACAGGTTCTGTTGCACATCTCTTCAAAACAGGGATGTTTCTTCACCCTCTAATTAATAAAACATAACTCTAAGTGCTTCACATAATCATTTTGCATGTCATTGACTTAAACCACATGATCTTTCAATAATTGGGTTTGTGACTCAAACGATTTCACTGTAAATTTTCAGAGTAAATCTGTCTACAGTCGCACCTTGTATAAAAGGCTCTGACATTCCTGTATTTTATTTTGTAATATTGGTTTAGTTTACTCTAGGAAGTGACGTAAGCCTCAGTTTAGTGCTGCGCCACCGCTCAGGAAAGTAGTTTTAATATACTTTCAGTTTCAGTTTGCTCGACATGTGAGACCGCATTCTTGGTGAAGTTCTGATAAGTGATGCTCCGAGTGTTAAGTTGATGACAGAACGTAAGTTATCGCACCTAGCTTGCTGTTTGTTTATTCTAGATTCAGTTGTTATATGTGTAAGCTAGGACGGGTATTTGATATTGCGGGGGTCTGAGCGCTGGAAGTAAGTTGAATCAGCTTGGCCCTCATAGGTTTACTATACTTTGGCGCCATCATGTGGCTGAATAAAATCCCTGCATAATGGTGGCAGCTGACAGCGCATGCTCTTAATAATGCTGCAATAACTCAATGAAAATAAAACAGATACAACCGAAATGCAGTTAAATAGTGTTTAAGTACATTTTATGTTCAACTGAGTCGAAGGGCTGTTTGTGTTCGTGTTTTATCATAGAGGCTGCGCCTAATAATGTAACCTTTATGTGAATTGAGTTACTTATATTTCGTGGATTTACATGCAAGTGGATGGTTAAGTTTATTCCTTATTGGATATTTAATTAAGTGTATTAGTTAAACCTCTGGTCTTGTAATATGTTAGCCTCAAGGCAATTTATTTGTTATAACAGACTGCTGGCAACACTGAGCATCACGACAAATAAACCAGCTCACATCCAAAGTGGAGTTTGATCTCGTGTCCTCTTTCCTGTATCCTGACCGATACACCATCCGGTTGGCTACAAAATACCTGAGAACCTATCCTAATTAACATTGGTCCTTCGAGCCGGATAGAAGCTATCAGGATGGAGCCAGACAGAGCGACATTCCCTGATGTGAGACCTAAACGGCAGTCACGCCGACCAAGCCGATTTGATGACTTTGAAGTTGAGTATGCACATCATTCCATCCGGGAAACGCCACGTTGGGAAATTCCCCCGCCTATCCCAAGACACGTGGAACACCAACCTGAGTATAGCAACGCACCACCTTTCTACGGTGATAGTGATGTAACCTGCCCTCCTACTTCTCCTTGGCTGGAGAGAAGTGAACAAGGGAGGAACTATGGGAATCTCACACCTGAACTTTCCCCCTACAACCTGTGGGAGTTCCCCATCCAACCCCCTCACACAAGATTTAGAGCTTTGCAGGCAGAAAAAGAGAAGCTACTTCAATCACAGGAAGTTCTACAGGAGGGCCTGAGAGAACTTAATGAAGCGAGGAGTGATATCAAAGCGCTGATTGAAGCTGCCCACTCACTGAGAAATGATATGGCTCAGCTGGCTGCTTCAAAATATACCATGTATCAGCCCCCTCTGAGTAGCTCAGAAAGGGTGTACACCACCACCACTAACACAGGGCCAATTAAAGATGAAGATGAGGAGGAGTGGCCTGATCCACCTCCATGGCCTGAACCTGGAGAGGAGCTGCTCACAGGATTCTCCAAACTAAAAGTTGAAGAACAGTATTCAGGTTATGGCTTACAGTACTACCCTCCGCCTGATACAGCCTCTTCGCCCCTTAGATCCTTTCTGCCGACACGCATGCCTCAGACTCAGGAGCGTAGAGGAAACGCGTTCTACGCTCCTCCACAAAATCCTGAGCCATCCTCAAAGTGGACACCAAGAAATGCAGGTCTGCTGCAACCAAACCCTGTTCAGGCTAAACCCCCTACATAAGTCACAGGGGCAGCACGTGAGATGCCGAACTGGCATGATTCAGCCCCACCTCTTTCATCTGAGATGGTATATAGGGGGCCTAAACCCACGATCCCCAAGTTTATCCATCCAGATCCTACTGAGTTTGCCAGGCTCCGAATGGCCCTGGAGAACCTACTCCCTCCTAACGCAACCGAACTCTTTAAGTATCAAATCCTTGTGGATCATCTTAAGTTTGATGAAGCTCGACTAATTGCGGACGCTTATCTAAATTCACCAAAGCCTTATACTGATACCATGGCTGCCCTCCATGATAAATTTGGACAACCTCATCAGCTTGCTTTAAGGAAAATTGCAAGTGTCCTAGATGGCCCAGAAATAAGGAGAGGTGATATAGTAGCTTTCCAGAGGTTCTCTCTCCAGGTGCAGTCACTAGTTGGTCTGTTGCAAACATTGGGACCTGAGGGAGAAGTGGAACTGAATTGCGGCTCTCACGTTGCCCGCCTGATAAGCAAGCTCCCTCCAGAGCAAAGAGCTGACTTTCGTCGACATCAGTTCAAACAGCCTGGCACCACCTACACCCTCCATGACTTATCTGAATGGCTTCGTCTAGAGTCATGGTGTCAAGGGTTTGATAGCCAAGCTGGTGGGAAGGGTAACAGAGAGCAGACCTGCAGAAAGGCGGATGCCTACCCCTTCAAACAGACTGTAACGGTCCTGCATTATGTGAAAGGATCCTCAGAACAGACTTCCTTGCTAACAAAGGAGAGTCGAGCTAAAGGGACAACTAAGAGCAAAGCTTATTGTGCCTATTGTGAGAGCACAGAACACTATTTCAGTCAATGTGATGGTGTGGCTAAGCTCTCCAAAGACGAAATAAAGAACTGGATTCAAGTCAACAAACGATGCTGGCGTTGTGCCCGAAATCATCTAGCTGCTCAATGTACACTAAAGAAACCCTGCAGCATTTGCCAGGGAAAACACCTGCTGGCTCTTCATGAGGTAAATGTCAGAACCGAAAGATACGACATGGGCGTCTCTGCAAAGGAAGAAAGTTGCCTTACCAATTCAGCGTCAGGTTCCCTCTACTTAGATCGACATGGGGTCGGCCATCGTGTTCTACTCAAGATTGTACCTGTGGTTCTACGTCATGGACAACACACCCTAAATACCTTTGCAATCCTGGATGACGGTTCCGAGCGAACCATGTTGCTCCCGGCCGCTGCAAAAATCCTTGGTCTTACAGGCATTCCTGAAGATCTTCCATTACGCACTGTCCGTTACGATATCCAGATGTTACATGGACGTAATGTATCTTTCAGTGTCTCTGCAGCGACCAATCCTGGGTTGCAACACAAGATTGAGGGAGCCTTTACAGCTGACAGCCTCAACTTAGCCCATCATACATATCCTGTTGATCAGCTGCAGAGGAAGTATAAACACCTGCAAGGGATCCCAGTGCCGGCGCTGAAGCGAGTCGAACCACTGCTCCTTATTGGTTCAGACCAGCCACACCTGATTACTCCCATAGAACCGGTTCGGCTTGGCCCACCTGGCAGTCCAGCAGCTGTCCATACTCAGTTGGGGTGGACCCTTCA